GCAGCTCCATTGGGATCCATTGAACTCCATTGCCAACCCTGCCCAACAACCATCATACTTGTTCTTTAGTAATAAAATTTTGACTTTAATATTTTTATAAATATATGCCAGTGAACGACAAATTACGAGCAAGTATATATCAGTTTTATATATTTATTAATATAAACAATCAAGCTACAGCGGTGTAATGAAAAATGCATGAATTGTTATATAAGACTTTATACTGTTTATTTTATTAATTCAGTTGGTAAGTATTAACAATTATTTATTAACCAACATATTTAATCTAAGTTACATAGAAGTTTTACCGATTACTATTTATTATTTAATTTCATTTTTAATCATTTGTTATAATATTTACCATTCACTTTATTTTTATTCGGGTTAATCTATTTTGCATGTATAATGCTTATTGCATATATAATGTTTATTCGTTATTGAGTTATTTAACATAAATATTTATTAATCGATGCATTTATCATAACGATAAACTATTCAAGCTTATCTTTTACACCGTAAGCTGGACGCAGATATCCAATAATTTTGGTGCTAAAAAGTCACATTCTTATCCCCAAAATCATCTGAAATCATCTGATGAGTCTGATGAGTCATTGATACTGTATAATATGCATAGAAGATTAAAGTTCTAATTGATTTAAATCCTTACAACCGCCTTGGATCTTTAAGACAATGTTACACCACTCATAGGAGTTCTAGAACACCTCAAAAAGTAAATGAAAATAATAAAAACACTAGATGCCGTCAAAAAAATGAAATTTGCAAAAAGCTTCAAATAGGCAGTTTGAGATACCTTATGACTTACGTGAGATCTGCCGGAAAAGTGCACCTGATCACAAAGTTGCGCGCAACTTTGTAAAACGATGTAAGGATAGTATTTACTATTTATTTAATTTATGTAATTTAGTTTGTAAGGACAAATTGCTAATTTTAGCGATTAATCAATACATTTAATACTTTATTTAATGTCATTTCATTCATGCTAATTTATTCAATAAAATATTTAATAGATATATAACTCTAAATATTCACGAATTGAACTCAAAGAATACTCAAATCATTTGATCGAGTTAATCTATTCGAATTTTTACTCAAGTTATTTGTTATTTAATTACTATTTATAAATTTCATATCCTGATCGACGAAAGCAAGCTTGTTTTAAAGTTTATTAATCATGTAACAATTGTGCAATATATTATTTAAAAATTACATGACTCGAATCATGACAATACTTTGTTTTTACACTACATACTTTAATTTAATGATTGGACTTGTCAATTCGTGACCTGAATTTACATGAAATTTATATTATATCAAAATTATAATCAAAAAACCTATGGTGTCGCGAAATTAGACCATTGTCTGAGGGACATTACAGATGAAACCTAATGTCTGTGTGTCAACAAATTCTGATTGGTTGGATATGTAAATTGTTTTTCTTGAGTTGGTCAAAAAAATAAATACTGCATTCAGTACCCGGAGCATAAATCAAAAATCCCAATATAACTTGATTGTACCCGGGTACAATTTAAGGGGATGTTTTGAACCGATCTTTTAAACGATCTTTAAACAGAGGTTCGTTTTGAATATATATTGCTAGTCTTACAAGCCTAATTTATACCCCAGGATTTCATGCAATATATTTTAGGGGTACTAAATGTAGTGGTCTAGGTAACCACATGTGTAATAACCAATTATAATATTTCCTTCCTAGTGTTACGGGGTGATTCGTACGTTTATTTAGTTTATACACGAAAATATATAAATTTTATAATATAAGGCATTCGCCAGAGGCGTGACGATGGTGATTTGGTATAATTTATTTTATTAAATGAGTTTGACCAGGTGATTTATTAAATGTATTGTGAGGGAATTATTGGAATCCCGTAGGATGATGTCTTTTGAGAAGGGCGAAATGCTAGAGTTTTTATAGCTTTAGCGAATGTAAAGGATTTAAGGGCTTAGGGATGACTCACATATTACATCGTTAACAAATTTAAGAAACTACTTCTAAGCTAAGGGGCTTACAATGATAATTTACAACATTATTATTAGAACAAGGAAGGCTTTGCTTCGCTCCTACAATCATTCGCCTTACAGCCACTTCAACTATATCTAAATCTTGTTATTCGGTCTTTTTTCATTTCTTCTTACGCGTCTCTTGTTCTTCGGATTTCACGTTGGTTATTGTTGATCTTATTCGGCCGATAAGCCTCAACCGATAAACCAGTATTTCTTGAATTAATTGTTTCAATCACGGATTTGCTGTGCCTAATCTTGTAGATCCTTCGTTTTAGCCCGTGACACTAGTAATAGTATTTTTTTTTATCAAAATTTCAAGTTGGAATTTATCAGAGTTAAGCCGAGATTAAACAAATATATAGCAAAATTATTAACTGGATATTTTTACTTTGTGGTAAAATTTTGAGTGGTCTTAGGCAAAATATGTTAAATTTAATTCTGGAAAAAAATCTTCCTGTATGAGTTATAGACTATTAATATGAGAAATTTCGTAACTATTAGCTAGATTTCTACGTACAGATCATCGACATCCCCAAATATTAACATCTCGGGTTTTACAAAAAACTCGTACACATCTGTTTCACTATTAAACACATTAATCTTGCACATGTGAATTCGTTAACCCATTGTCACCATCAATTTTGGGACGTCCGATAGCAAACTCGTGTTCTGCTAGAGTTTTGGGTCATTGTCAAATTCTCATGGTCGATGCTTGAAATCGAGATAAAACTCAAAATTTTTAATATTAATAACGATAAATGACCATTTTGTTTAGAAGGGCATTCTATTAATTCTTTTGTTAAAAGATATCCTATTCATGCATCCATGCGCAGGTATACTTGAAGATTTATCATTGTCTTCTCAATGACCATGCTGATGATCAATATCATTGCCGCAGCTAGTGTTCCGAAAAGATCCGAATCCGATTCGGATCGGATCCGGATCTATGATTTTTGAGATCCGTGCGCACACAAAGATCCGTTCGGGTAATACCCGTATTACCCGGTCCGATCCATATGGTAAGGTTCTGAGACACGGGCATTTATTCTGATTGGTCAGAATGTTCGGGAATGTAGATAGTCAACCAACATGCAAGGTCATCGGAGGCCAAAATTTTTCGGAATTTTTGTTTTACAGCTATTATCATAATTTCTGGGACTACCCAAAATCTTTTTTGCCGTTCGGTAAATTACCTAACTTTCCGGACATTACATCACTGCCTCCGGACTGAAGGTCCGAAGACAGCGATGTAGTTTCCGGAGAGTTCGGGTAATGAGCAGGTGTCCCAGACATTATGATAACGATAATAGCTGTAAGACGGATTCGGATCCAGAACATGGATCCGACTTGGTTTTTCGGATCGGGTTCGGATCTTTAAAAATATCCGTCCGATCCGGTCCTTTCGGAACACTAGCCGCAGCATATAATTATATCATGTGTTACATAATCTGCAGCTTATCTACACAGAACAGCCAATCAAAATCGTTTACTAATTATATTCTACAGAACTTTGCCCTGGTGTTGTCACTGCGCCGTCGCTAGAAAATTAACTATCATTCTTACTTATTACATAATAGATCGATAACCATGTCGAGGAAACGTTAAAACTAAGTACAAGTTAGTGTTACTTTTTGACGCAGAATGTACGTACAGTACGTACCCTGGCTTTAACGGACCTCCATGTTGGGAAATCTATAAACTTATATTTGTTTTTCCTAAAAAGTCTAATGAAATTTTACACAAAACTTTATACGTAAACGGTAACACTGTGATACTTGACCGATTAGAAAGTACAATTTACTTTCATTTTCCCGGTCTTATTACATTATGACAGTGTCACGTGATATCCGAGCCAAGAAGCCAAGATTTATCAATTATATTAATAACCATTTGTTGTTTAATTTCTGACGATTAGTGAATTAAGAATCCGTACTTACATAAGGAAGGAATAGAAACATGCTTTGTTTGAAGTCAAAAAGTTTTATATCACATGTAGCATTCTCCTATGCGGGCCTAATAAATAACTTTTGTCTATCCATACAATCCGCAATATAAAATTCAATGTTTCTTGACAGTTCTAGCACATATTATTCATCATAGTTCATTTCTACCATAAGTCCATGTCCCGTTACACTTAAGAATACATTTGCGTAGATATGTATTATAAATTTACTAAATAAGCAAAGTAGTAAAGATGATGAAACTCGTAAAATCATAAATAAACAATAATAAAAACCCCAAACCTCACGTATATGGAGAAAAGCGAATTGACCTTTATGGTGGTCGGATTTAAAATGATATTTTAACAATGCATATATTTATTGTGTAGCATTGATTCGATATATCTATTTTTTTAATGACTAAGAAATAACGTTAATGTGATTTAAGCAAGGCAAGGTTAACGTTAATGTTTAATAAACACATTTGTTATTGAGCTTAACTATTTGGTGCACTAAGTTGGCGTACAAACATTCATCATGTGGAAATAGGACATTTCTAGTCTACCATCAAAAAGTTAATTATACGTAGTTAATTATGGTTAATTATTGTTAATTATGGTTAATTATAACGGGGATCAAAGATAGACAATCCCTAATTAAAATTTTAAAATTTAGAAATTGTTTAAAAATCCTAATGGGAAAAATGTACATAATAAGACCGAATTTTAAAATTTTCTTATTTATAGTGCTTAATATTATTCTGTACCAATGCTGCAAAGTTGAAATCAACATGTTGACTGATTTGTTTTGATCGGCGGGATTACATATTTTCAATTCGCAAAAGATTTTAGTTGTACGGAAAATATTCCATGTGGTGTACTGTATGTCTGAATACCAAAAAAAAAAAGCCGGAAAAGTATTTAATTTATAAAAAAGCCGAAAAGTATTTAATTTATAAAAATGTTATTTCTTCAACTCTTCACACAAAAGTAAATTTGTTCAAATTCTGGTTTAAAAAGGATGGGAATAAGTCTTTCAAAATTTCGTTCATCTACTAAGACAAAATATCTCAAAATTAAACGTTCAGCCAGTTCAATCAATTTAAGGAGTCCTACACTAGCAGCAAAATTATTTCGTGATGATTTTAAATTTTTAAATGGTAGAAGATATCATAATGTAGAAAATATTTATTATTTTTTTCCAAATGATGATCAGGAAATAGATAGATTACAATTACAACATTATATGATGAGATTTATTTGGCGTTCGAATTTTTCTTCTCCTATGCGTGATCTTCTAGAAGAAGGTTATGCTCATGTTCTCGATGTTGGGTAAATAAATGCTTATTTTGTTATTTATATCACATTCACTTATACTAAATATATGCGTTTAATTTTCATCTTTTTTTTTTTTTTTTATTTCTTTTTATTTTATTTTTAAACCATTTTGATATACTTTTATAGGTGTGGACCAGCAACATGGCTTTTAGAAATGGCATCTGACTTTCCGAAATGTGAATTTACAGGTGTTGATGTTGTGCCAGTAATGCCATTGACAATTAAGCCTCAAAATATAAATTTTATAGAAGCGAATTTGCTAAATGGACTTCCATTTCCAGACAATCATTTTGATTTTACTTATATAAGATTTCTCAATTGTGCATTTCCTTCTAATCTTTGGACAACTAATGCTATCCCAGGTAAAATTCAGATATTTACTTTAAGGTAAATTACATTCTTTGTAAAAATATTTAGCAATAAACGTAATTTTTATTATTATAGAACTAATTCGTGTGACAAAGCCGGGTGGATATGTAGAAATAATGGAATGGGAGACAAAAATTCATAATCAAGGTCCAATTACTGAACGACTCATGGATGCACGTAAATAAAGTTCATTTTTTATCTGTTTATTTAATTGATATTTAATTAATTCTATTAATTTACAAAAAGTCATTAGAGACATAAGATCTCATGATGTAGATGACAGAATACCCGAAAAAATGTGTTCTTATCTACAAGACTCTGGAAAACTAAAAAATATAAATCATGACTACAGAGATAGTCCAATTGGTAAACATGGTGGTAGGGTTGGTAAATTAGCACTTGATAATTCTATAGCTGCATTTAAATTTTGTGAGGCAAAACTTTCTGTGGAATTTGGAATGACCTCAGAAGAATATAATGCTCATTTTGAACTTTATGCAGATGAAGTAGATGAATATAAATCTCAAATCAGAACATATAGATTTTGGGCTGAAAAGATTTAGCAAAAAATCAATTATTTCATTATACTCTAATACAGTATTGTAAATGTATATAAAATCCATCTTAAAGCATTAATGTGTGTAATCATTGTAAATTTTTTTGTTTCGATGTGATTATTAAGGTATCAAGTTCATAAGCTATTCATTGAAATATTTGAAATATGATATCCGAATAGACTATTTTCCCGCAAAAAAAAAATGTGTTGTTTTTCCAGTAAATCATTGTTATGTATCACATAGATCGTGAAATAATGTGCATGTGCACTATTTCGAATACCGTAATGGCTCAATTATTACATTCCTGGGCGTTATCTCAGATTATCCGTTAACACAAGTATGGTCATGCTATCGTTATTTTGGTTTGCCTTTCATGCAAAAATCGTATATAATGTCAATTGACGTCAACTTATTCCGTTAGGGTAAGCGTCACTCCTACGTGTTGCTACGTTACACGTGTGACGAATTTAAATCGTTGAGTGCGATAAGAATGTACCAAGACCAAACCTAAAAAAGTTCATTATCCGTGAAACATAGATAAAAAAATAGATACACCCAAGCATTAACACTACGTAACAATAAGTTGGTACAAAGGTTACCATAATCATTACTCAATTTAGAAAACAACATAATAATCTGATACGTACGTACTGATATTGGTTTATTTTACGTAATAACATACAGCTAATGAGATAATAGAATTTTAATTTCATGCGGACTTCGTGAAATTAATTGGTCATCTAAATGAATACTGGCAAAGGTAACAATTACTTAGCTTTATTTTGTTACTATAAAAGGTTTTTTTTTTTTTAAACAAAAAAAAAAATGCGGATTGAGCATCTCATCTAGATATTTGGTCATTTGAAGCAGATATCTGGGTCGGATAAAAGTTATTATAGGTGACGCCTACTTTAAAATCAATTAATCATTTATTAAAGTGTCACCGATACTATATTTCATCCTTGGATCAATTAGAAATAATTTTAGGAATGTGTTTACTTATCATATTTCGCCATATAAACCATTCACATAATAGTAAACCCTACGTGATTTTTTACCAATAATTTTTTATAAACACTTGGGTTAAATGTAACAGATCCGATGATTAAATAATTCTCATTTTATAATATTGTTGATACCGCCCAATTGCATACGTACGTATCTTATCTAACTAAATACAATTTTAATTTACCTACCTAACTTTTAATACTTATTTTCTTGCATAATGTATAAAAAAAGGTTTAATACGTATTTAGAGAATATATTGAAACTTTAAAAATAGGATTTTTTACAAGTAAAGGTTTTTTAATCTTCAATTATAAATACGTATTTCCTATTAATTTCTATTATAGTGAATTTCGATAAAGCAAAGATTTAACGTACGTACGTAGTAAAAATCTTAAATTACAGAATTACTAAATCTAAAAGCTAATATATTATATATAGTATATTATTTTCTTGATATACTATTGATTACGTACTGTATATGTTATGTATCATTTCGCAATTCCTGTTAGTTTCAAAATAACAGATGTTAATTTAAAATTGCAATTTAGGTATAGTAATACCGATACATCGTTTATAACAATTTTATGTAAAAAAATAAAATAAAATAAAAATTAAATAAATAATGTATTAAATAGTTGAGAAATAAATTATATATTGTGGTTAATAAAAATTAACTAATTGCGCATTAAAAATATTTTTGTATTGCAATATTGCGCTTACTACATTCGTATTTTAATAACCACCTACGATTAATGCCTTTAATGCAAATGCATAAGATTCATATATAGTTTGTTGGTTTATTCCATTAGAATTAAGATTGTATCTATAAATAAATGCCTTACGTATGCTAGCTCTGATTTCATGAAGACAAGTTCAATATTATATGTTCATCCATTCCAACAGATTAATAATGAACGAATGCTTGATACTGATTATACGATTAATTATTGTTGCGGCTAAAGCTGGAAATTAGGGTCCTCGATTTAAAAATATAAACCCTACCAAAATCCACTTATACATTTTTATAATCAAAACTATCCCTAAATCCTAAGCTAACTATGAAAAAAATGCTAAAAAAAATGTTTCCCAAAATTTTTTAAAAATTTCATATTAAAAGATTTAAAATTTCTAGCTTTAACCATTTTTAGCTT